TATCATCTAACAGTCCAAGCAACCACTGCGCACACCTTTCTCTTTTGTAACTTCTCTCACGATAGTTTACTCCATCAAGCCATCGGTCGTCAGGGCTCCAGTAAGATGGACGTTCCATCCTTGTGTGTTTGGCACTTTGCACAGCACACGACTTGCACGCGGTGAACTGCATCTGGTACGAGCGCAAAAGAGATCTCAATTTATTTCATCAATCAACACCGCTGGTCTCTCTTCGACCGACTGCAGCTGCGTGCATTCCATCTGGCCCTTGTAGTGCTCCAACCCGCAACTCGACTGTTGCCAGTCCGTGGTTAAGACCACTGAGGTACGATTCCCGAACAGATGAAACTACGGTACAGTACTTTTCCGGGCGTGCAATGGCTGTCTGAGTGAGACTGATGGTTATGAATTCCTGCCTTTACTCCTACTACTCATCTGTAAACATAGGATTTTCGTTGCCTTTTTACCCTGTGTTCACGGATTCCGGAACTGCGTCAATTTCGTCATTATTATCAGACTCCCGTCCAAGTGTCGCGCTCACTTCGAACATGAACTCAGCTTTCAACCGCAGGTAAAGTGTTTGGAGAGTGACCATGTGTTCCGGCGATAATCATTTTACCAGACAAACAATGGGATTTTCTGCCAGAGATCTTCGTCGCCACCATCATGCTTCGCTCTTTGTTCGATTGCTTCCATTCTTCGTAAGCAACTGTCGCGGGATTTCGGGTTGACGCTTATTATGCATGCGTTGCTCCAATTTGTTTCCATCCTCATAGGTCTTCAATATTCTGCTCTTAACCTCCGCTAAGTGGCGTATACGAGTGCTTTTTGTGCCATTCTGAGTATAAAAAGCTGGAAGTCACCCAGTTGCTTTACATATATACCTGTTGGCGCAAGCTTTGCACTTCAGGACCCCGCTGAACCGGCCAATCACCGCCGAATAACTCTTCTCCCAGTTCTTTCCAAGGTCATGTAATCCTCTATTACAGAGGCCATCATGGGATACATAGAAATGTTCAATATCATCGTACCGGAACAAAACGGTTTCCGCCGAAACCACTCATGTACCACGAATATCCTGTTAGCCCGTACAAGCAGGACGGAATCTGTCGATTCTGAGGAGGGATTTGACGCTGTGTACCTAGCTTTCTCGAAAGCATTTGATCCTCTTGATCACAACATCCTCTTTCTCAAGCTTCAGAACTGTGGGTTTGGCGATCCCATCCTGGGTTAGATACGTGCATTCCTACTTCGCCGTCGCCTAAACGTGAGAGTCCGTAACGCCTTATGTGACCCGTTAGAGGTGCAATGTGGCGCTCCACAAAGCTCGGTTCTAGGACTAAGGTTTATCCACGTGGAAGTGATGAATTCAAACATTTTACTCTTCGTGGAAAATCTCAAAATCTGGTGGCCTATCAGAACGGTAAACGACCACATGACACTGCAAGGTGATCTCGACAGGGCTCACGATTGGTCAGTTCAGAACACACTTGAGTTCAACGCTGCCAAATTTCAAGTACTGGCATACACCACTAGAGAAATTACATGTACCGGCTGACAGAACACCTTTCGCAACGCGTCTTCCATGAAAGTGATCCTGGAGTGATCATACAGGCCGATCTCGGTTTTTCAAAACCGGCCGGGAAAGCAACAAGAAAAGCCAATGAGCACTTGGGTCTCTTGCGGAGAGCGTTTGGCCGATTTGGTCTCACCATCTTTTCACAAATGCTGAACGCTTACGTAGGATCGCATGTTGCATACACCCCTGGCAAAGGCATGACCTTGCTGCTCTTGTGACTCTACAAAGTACAGCAATAACAAATGTTAAGGGCCTGACTTCTCTCGCTTACCAGCATAGACTACAGACCCTAGGAGTTTTCGGTGGTCACTCTCGTCAACTGCGCGGTTATCTTATTTTGGTGTTTCAGGTCCTAAGGAATCCAAACCACGTATGTCAGCACTTACTGAGATTGTCACGACTCCTCACTTCGAGGTCATCACTTGAAGTTAGCCACACAGTACAGCCAGTTGGAATGCCGTCGGCATATTTTCTCACTTCGTGTGTCCCTGTGGTGGAACGATCTCCCGATTTCCGTCATTTCCGCTTCTGCATTGACTGAAATCGAAACCAAACTTGATGCAACATTACAACACATATACTACAAGATTTAAACAATGTTACTGAGACACATCACGACCTGAGCAAAATACGTACACCATTGAAACTTCGGTGCGTTCACCGATATGTGTTACTTTTGTTTTTGTCCATACTTTCACATTCTGTTTCACTCTTTACCTGCGGGAATTTCGAAGGTTTGCTTTTTTCCCATTGATAAATCCATTGATCCGCTGATACAACCGCTTTTTGCACTTAAGCGTGCTTATGTATTCAACCTCACCGCCAGACTCAGCCTTTCAAGGGTGACCACCCCATCAATCCGGCCACTTTATCGAAACACAATGGCGACCGACAAGCAGCTCGACCACCGATACTGTAACAACACTTGTGACGCTCTTCCATGTGAGCTTTTCATCTCAGCCTTGTGTTTCCTCGATCTAAACCAGACTCTCCTACCCCAACTGTCGAACCTGTCCCATATCTATCATCATTAAGGCCAACGCAACCTTGGAATTCGTTGCACGTTACCTATCCCAATCATCTATCCGTTAACGCAAGCGGCACTTCCGGTGACAGTACGGTTTTTGAACATGAGTTTATGCGCGGCCCAGGGTTGACACATTGACACCACATCCATGTTCCAAACATGTGAGTATACTGAGAGTACTATGCCTTGTGACTTCAAATATACCATTTGGCACTGAATATTTGCCGTAACCAGACGGCGCACCTTCGCTTGTGGATACCGACGTATAACGGCGTACTTTACCTGAAGTGTGCGACCACATTGCACTTTCAAGTTATGCTGATTAAAGATTAGGGCGTCCTCAGAAGGGGCGCACGACTGCACACCATCGTTGTATCCGGTAATAGACGCTCACAGATAAATGACTGTGGTTGATAGGGAACTGTAATGATAAAGTGTGCTGATCTTCTTGCGAGTAAAGTGTCGAAATGGTCCTGCGCAAATTGAGTTGTGAAATGCGGGTTGGAAGGTGACCAAACTGTGTTTAAGCCCACAAGCGTTATGTGCAGCGTAACTGGCCTTCATACTACGTGCAGTACGGCACTGCACCCAATATGGAGCGGGTTAGTGAGATGGCATCAGTTCTCATTTGCTAGTCTCTATGGTATGTTATGGGATGGTAAATTAGTTGGATAGGCGGCTTGCAAACTGCGAACTTGTGCAGACTTTCCGAAATGGAAATATTTAGATGTTACCCCTCCCAACACTGGCACACCACGAGCGCGGTTTCGTCTTGGTTTGGACTCATATGGTGGCGATAGCCTGAGCTGGGGTGGAACTCAGAGCCTAGTAGTACACCGCTGATGCCCTGAACACTACGCTACTGAGATCCGCGAGTAACGCTTGGCACAGCGGAAAAGAACTCAGTTGAACTTGGGGAACTAGCTTTGTGGTTGGGTTACGACACGCAACCTCTATTGAGACGTCGATTCACTTTGAGGTACACCTCGGTCATTACGATCGCGAGGACCGTATCCGGAATGGAAATATTTGGGTGTTGCTTCTCCTAACACTGGCACACCACGACCGCGGTTTCGTCCTGGTTTGGTCTCAGCAGGTGGGTTGAGCTGGGGTGGAACTCCGAGCCTAGTAGTTCACGGCTGACGTCCTGAGCACTATGCTGCTGAGGTCCGTGATCAACGCTTGGCACAGTGGGAAGGATTTCAAAATTGAATTTGGGGAACCCGCTGTATGGTTGGTTTGCGACGCGCAACCTCTATTGAGACCACGCTTCACTCTTCCCCTAGCAGGGAAATACACAGGGCGAGTAGATGGCCAGCTGGAGCCTTTTGGAGACTATAGACGTGGGTCCATTTGTGAGTTTAATTGTATTGGAAACAGACCGTTCTAAAAATAGCTCGATTTCTCATGTGATTTGACCTCAGGTCAGTGCTAGTCTGTCGATAGATGCTTTTCCTCTCTGCTTCGATTTGGCCCTTTGGCATGAGCTGGTTTGACCTTTTGGACTCAACGTATTCTGACCTTTAGGGCAGATGGTTGTTTTGACAAAAGGTTGTTAGCATTGTTGATTTGCACTTGATAAAACGCACCTTCCTACCTATGTGCAACGCCGAGACGTCGAACTCTACTGCACTTGCGTCTTCTCTAATTGCGGAGTCCTTACTAAGTAACTTATGCCGAATATTAATCGGTCGATTTCTCGCCTTAGTTTTTACCACCTGTAATATTTCGGCGGGATTTCGTTCGGAGGTTTTACAAAACATCTGCATCTTATTGGACTTAGGCTTTACTGTACACAAAAGGATTAGACCGACATTCCCCATCGCAGCGTTCAAGTTCCGTCAACTCAAAATTGTTTGGATTAAGTTAGGCTATCTATATTAAAACCTCAATTAACTTCGAGGTAGACCCCCGATCACTGCATTTCCTGAAACTCTCCACGTAGCTTAATTTCTGCTCCATGATCGTTTTCCGCATATGGCACTGACATTGCCGTCCGTCCTTCCTTTTTCGTGTGTTTGGTGTTTTACTGACATCGGCTTTTAATGCAATCAAACCCTTGACCTCTTTCATTCCGCGAATTAATCGTCAGTTAGACACTTTGGCCATAAACAGGGTCTTTGGCTTTCTATCGATCTCATTCATTGTGCCATCACTTCGCCTTGAGGTCTATTTGATCACATTGCCGGCGATGTCGGCAAATTTCTTGGGTTGTCGTAGTGTGACATTGCTTTTCACCCCCATTTGTGTTTCACTTTCACGAAGGGAAACATTTACACCAGCTGTTTGTCAGACGCATGGGCTTTCAGCGAATTGAATATTTTCCTTAGACCAGTAGACCTTCTATTACTTCCTGTTGCTGTATTTACGTTTCATCGCTCCACTTTCTTACAGAAACAGGATGTTGGCACAAAGAAAATTGAAGTGTTAGATGTGAAGAGGTCCAACGCGATCAACATAGGCCTAAAGGTACTACCTCCACCACGAACCATCAGCACAGCAATTCTCAAAATGGACTCATCCATCATAAATCGTGAAGGTATTGAGGTGAGTTGTATGCCATCATCATGTAAACACACTTAAGTGTGGCTCCGGTCCACCACATCCGTATATATGTTCCTTTTTCACGTAGTCTGTTAATATATCTACACTTTTTCTCAATTAATTGCATGCATAACGCGTTCAAACTCAGCCTTAAGGAAATACGTTTCGTCCATACATCTTTTAGAATCCTCCTTAAGGTAATCAGAAAGCATCCACCTGGCACAAAAGCACCAAAGCGAACCCCTCGTTAGGTGACCAATCCCAAATCAACCAACAGTATAGCAGACTAGTTTACGACATGAGTTACCAGAGAAGGTTTGGGCGTGGCGCAGATCGCGTGCGATTTGGTGGGTGCTTAGTCGCGCTGGACACTCGGATTCAAGCATGATTCGCTACATTGGAGCAACACACATGCTAGTGGGTATACACGCAAGGTTCACGTGGTGCCATCTGGGCTTAGCAGTCACGAGTGATCATGGTGGTTGGCACGTAACTTTCCAGGCATTTCCCCTTCTACGTGAAATATGATTGCGCGGTGTGTCCGCACATTTCATCGCTGAGCTGTCTGTATACCGCGAGTCACCCCTGTGAGTGAATGCGAATGAATTGGCCCTTGGGAATAATGACATTAAGTCGCTCACACACCGCTGTCGGTGATCGGCTGGCATGGCAGTTGGGCTAGTGACACCGGGGGGCGTGGAGAGCGTGTGGACCGCGGTGTGTTTCGGGATGCCGCATGCTCACTGAACGCAATGTTGAAAGGTCCGGGTTTGCTAGATGTAGCGATTCGAATCAGGATGAGTGCGTGCGCGGTGCACATTGGCATCCTCACCGAGGTTTCACTCTCCTATTGCCTTTGTTATGCCGTTGTTCAACTGATCTTGCTCCTGGGGAATATTTCATGTCGCGGCGTCATGGTTCCCATTGCGGTTGCTAAGACATGTAAGTGCCTGAGTGTTTCCTCCAACCATTCACACACATGATTTGTATTGTTGCGAACCAGACCGAATTTGGTGTTGTACCAGGGGCGACCCACACAAACAGAAAACAGAATTCCGCAACACTTGGGGCGAATATACTATTCTGCCAGTTTCTCGGAATGATCTCAGTTAGGTGTTATTGCATTAAATAGCGGCGCACACGCTTTGGTTTACTCAGAGCAATGTCAGCTATGCAGCAATACCCGTATTTCTGCCTCTCTTCATATGGCAAATTACGCGTTCCAGTGACGCACTTGGAAACCCGACGTTGAGTCTGTTCCAGATCTGTGACATAATGCTTCAGTTTTGGTGGCCTTGCCTAAATTACTTGTGCTACTTAGTGGTTCCCGTCTTGCAATTCCATTTCCGTTTGCTCAGAACAACCCGTCATCCCGAACCAGTGACGTAGGTCACATTAGACGATAGAGAACTGTAGGGTATGCGTTTCGAATCTATAGATCTAGAAGCTGTGGTATCGTATGCAGTATCTTACACGCGGGTAGTCATCCTAACTACAAGAATTGAATTATTCAGATGCGCAGCTGTCGAACGGATTGTGAACTTTTTGAGAAATATTCGTTGTTATAATCAATCGTAGTACGTCACGTAAGTGGAAACTGTTCTCGTAAGCAAGTCTCAGACTGACACGACGCAGTACTACGGCGACATAGCGGAGAAACAAATACCATCGCAACGCGACCGGACTTTATCTTGATGCGATGGTTTGCTTCGTTCCGTGATCTATTGAGCTTCGCATGGTGGCACCTTCTAGGTGCCATTAGGACTGCTCACACCAAACGTGTGCATGGTTAGGGGTCGGATTAACTCAGTCTCACAATCCTCTCCGTGGGTTGGTAGAGGTTCATGGTCCTCTTCCCATAGAGCACCCACGGGAGACAACAGGTTTTAGAGTATCTCACAGCTCGATTGGCATAGAGCACGAGTGCCACGCATTGTCTCTGATCGTGGGAGTGCACCACTCGGTGCTTAATGGCTTGCGACCTCCCGCTTCAATCCAGACAACTCCTTGTGAAATAGGTGTAAACCCGCCAATTCCCACATGCGGTTGTCTGTGGTTACACATGAACTTCCCTAGATCCTCAAAGGCTGTATCTGACAGGTCTCAAGCAGATCCCAATGAGACATTGCAATCAGGCTCTCCAGTTGGACTAGCTCCCCACTACATTGTGGGTTAAGTTGTTGAGCGCAAGGTTCTGGGTGGAGTCACTCAAGTGAAGCTCCCTATACGTGACCGCGTTGTGGGTCAGACTGATGAGGGATAGGCTAGGGCTAGGGCACCTCAACCAACAACCCTCTTCCGGAATGGGCAGCAGGAGAGTACAATCAACCCCCTCAACCCGGTCGCCAACACTTCTTCTCCTCTACCCGTACCACTCTCTTCTACCCCCCACCCCCGTATATTGAGCAAGGGACTATCACTGACCTCGTAACTGAAGCTATCAAACCGAGATTCGCATTTCTCAATGGTTCATTTGACGTTCACGCACTTTTACAGATCGGCTAACAGCAGCACTAACTCTCACTATACACTCCCTCGGTATTGGTGTGTGCTGTCTCTGAAACACATATACAAGATAACCGCGACGTGACGAATCTTCCACTTCCTGGTTCCGAATCTGCCGACAGCGATTACACTCTAAGCGCCTCTGATGATACGAAGTAAATAGCTCAAGGTTATTATGCTGTCCGTATGGCTCTCAGTGATATTGCAGAATGCAATCTACTCGACTGGATGCCAGTGAACAGCCGTATGTGTGCTGTTCGACTTCGAAACTCCATTACGGTGAATAACAACCGTCTGAGGATATCGGGCCTTTTCGATGCTTCTGTTTATGCCCTATTGACTGCAGTTCGGAGGGTCTGAAGGATCACTTCTATCGTCACCAGGAACTACTGAGACTGTGATTGTTGCTGGTTACACCGATGTCTTAGTGGGTGGCCTTTCGGACTGTGAACAACACCTGGAAGGCTGTTTCGCGGTGCATGCACGCCGAACAGACAGTGGTGATCGATTCCTACTACTGTGTGCTGACCTCAATGCGCATATTGGCAGCACTGCTTTCAAGCACTAAAGTTCACATCATGTCACATGTGCCCACCTCACCTAGGGGTTCGGTGGGCCCAAATTAACCTTGTTGCTGTAGACCACACATGGCGCACCTCAGTTCAAGACCGTGAGTCAATTTTGAGTATGTATCTGCATTTGGACCAGGCTCTAGTGTCTCCCAGTTCACCTGCCATTGCAGTGACACCTAGATATCGGATACCAAATGACTCCCTAACCGAGACGTACCTGCGGCACCGTGGCGTGCCGTACACCTCGGCCACGCTTCGGGAAGTGTTCAGCTTTGTTCGACACACAAAGTCAGCAACGAGTGTCCGCCCTGAAAGGAGTGTCACGAAATCTCCTGTCTTTGCCACTTACTGCATGACCCATAGTCCTGCGTTTGCGACACTGAATGCCCTGACCTTTCAACGAATGCCGCCTGCGCTCTAGTCGTGGCCCATGCATTACCGCTCTGCGCCGTTGGTGCACTTAGATTGGCCAATACGAGCTCCCCTATATATACTGTTCCCAGTATGGTTGATGCTCACAACGTTGGCTTGCCCATACGTCTCCGTTTGAACCAGTCTCCATGTTACTCTATAACTTGTTGCACCTCGGCGCAGCGCGGATACTACAGGTAGGTAATCATACGGTGCAACTTAACATCGTTTAGTTCACTCTACACATAATGTTAAGAGGAATCCCACGCATGTTCCATCCGGCGGAGGTTAAGGCAAGAATATTGAACACCTATGATGAAGGCGATGACTGGAAGCAGGTGGTATCCGTGTTAAATGTCAAGCTAAAGACTTGCCGAAGCTGGGTTTAAACGTTAGAATCCAACGAACCAAAAGGAAAACGTGGCGGGGCACGTCGAAAATCATTGACTGACATTCACGTGGATAATCTGGCGGAATGGGTGGAAGTAGAGCCTATCATAACCTTAGAGTGTCTTCGTTTCCGATTGAAAGCGAAGCTCAATGTAGAGGTGAGCCTCAGCACAGTAGCTCGGTGCCTGATGGGTCGCCTCCTTACCATGAAAAAGCTACATGCTATACCGAATCAATGAATACGTTTGAGAACAAGAGACGAAGGAAGTCTTATGTGTTGCAGCAGATGAATTTGGAAGCTGAAGGATGGCAACCAGTTTGGATTGACGTGACGAACTTCAATCTGTTTTACGCTTGTACAAGGGGCCGTTCAGCACGTGGCACACGTGCGCAGTACACTGTAACGAGTACTCGTGGACAAAATTTGCACCTTATCGGCGCAATGACTGTAGATGGACTTTTGGAATATACCATCTTAAGGGGGAGTTACAACAGGGGACGGTGTGCGCGGGGGTTGCGGCAATTGCTTGATGCCAACGGCACCGCTGTTACTGACAAATGTCTGATGATATGTGACAACGCACCATACCACACTGATCTGAAACGCGTGTTTCGAGAGGACCGTTACTAATCAGAGAGTCTATTGCGACTCGCGCCATATTTGCCTTCACTGAACCCCATCGAAGGCGTTTGAACTATCATCAAGGCGAACGTCAAACAAGCCATGCGGCGCGGATATCCCGAGATGCTGCGAGAACATCCACCTGGTGCGCTTAGTAAAAGAGAATGGAGGATCCAGTTCTTTGAGAAGATGGTATCCGATGCACGAGCCAGCGTTACGCAGCACCATTGTAAACAAATGGTAGAACATGTGCGTGCAATACACTTAATGGGTCTGTAAACCTCTATCATGTCACTGATATTTTGTTTTATCACCAATATTTTTGCTTAAAAGCCGCGTAAGCTTGCTTTGTGCAATGGGCCTCTCCAATTTGGGCAACACTAGGATGTACTATCGGCAACCGTAATCTCGGTAGTTCAATGGACAATGAATTTGTACGGGTTAAGAAGCTTTACTCGACAAGTCCTGTTGGATAGTTGGTGAGGATATTGACATAATAATAATGATAATAATGATAGTAAAACAGTTAGTACTTTAAA